AATCAAAAGTTAGGGATTGTAATAAGAAATAAAATCTGGAAGACTGGCTTCTAAAAGAGCTGACTCAGAATGCATGTTGGAATCTGTAAACTTGAATTGGATTTAGATGTGCTCATTAAACTCTGAGCTTTCACAAGTTAGGGGAAGAGACATGATAAACAGAATTAGGCGTCCTTCTTATATGAGATATTAATGGACTGAGCTAACCTCCAAAGGCTGAGTGTAAAAGCACTCAAGAGTTCCGATTCATTCTCAGATGCAGGCTCAAATGTAAACTGAAGAAGATGAAGGTTGGAATGGGATAGTCCCCAGGTTTCTAGCACAGCATCAAGGATGGTCATCACAGTAGCCTGTCGGGGGGCGGGGATCCCTGTAGGATTGAGGTTAGATGAGAGAAGTATTAAGCGAGTCCTGACTCTTCAAAGTCTTGGAGATCTTCCATGTGGGTAGTTGGTGAAGTTACCGAAATATTAAAATTGGTCTTTGACAGGTAAAGATGCACCTACCATACAGGCTTCCACCAGGAAGGCCTGTCAGATAGGAACCTAAATATAATTTTCTCAGACTTCGTTCATGAGAGCCTGGAGTACATATTTGGAAAAGGTTATGAAGGGGGAAGTGATGATCGCAGAATGCTGTGGTTAATTAATGAAGCATAAAATTGGAAAGAGATATTAACTTGTCAAGGAGTGGAGACGAAAGGATAGATGTGTACAGGAATAGCCAGAGTGTCTATCAGGCAAGGGAAGCAGATGACAGGTGACACAGATCACAGGTCAAGAAGATAGCTAGGTGCTCTTTCTATGACTCTGGTGTCACAAAGGTACTGAGGGGTTCGAGACACACCCCCTCCCAGTCCGTGAGCAGAGGAGACACTAGAGGAGAAAGCTGTTTGGTCACTGTCATAGAAAGAATGTTCAAAAATACAAAACAAGGATAATGTAACAAGTTCAAGAAGAAAACACAAGCCGGGCGGTGGTGGCGCACGCCTTTAATCCCAGCACTTGGGAGGCAGAGGCAGGCGGATCTCTGTGAGTTCAAGGCCAGCCTAGTCTACAAGAGCTAGTTCCAGGACAGGAACCAAAAGCTATGGAGAAACCATGTCTCAAAAAAAAAAAAAGAAGGAGAAGAAGAAGAGGAGGAGGAGGAGGAAGAAGAGGAAGAAGAAAAAGAAAACACAATGTCAAGCCAGGGGTGATGCTGCACACCTTTAATCTCAGCACTTAGGAGGCTGAGGCAGGCAGATCTCTGAGTTCAAGGCCACCCTAGTCTATGGAGTGAGTTCCAGGACAGCCAAGGCTACACAGAGAAACCCTGTCTTGAAAACCAAAACAAAACAAAAAATAAAAAACAACAATTCAGTGTTAGGGTGGAAAACACAGAAAAGTAGGTAGTTAGTGAATTAGGGGTCAATCAGAAAGGGGTTGTCAAGTTCCAACACAGCTGTTTTGGTTTCTGCCATTGACACAAGCTTTTAAACACAGTGCCAGGAACTTCTTTGCAAAATGTATGTTAACCAGTTGTAATGATTTAACGTATTACATACCAGATATAATGATTTAGCATGTACAACTGAAATTTATGTGATTCTTGCCTAGGGTTAGAATGTTATACTTTCTATGTTAATAATTCCTACAACATTTGAGATTTTAGAAGTTAGATACTTGTACAAGAAGGCAAGGCTGGGTGTGGTGGCACCCCTGCCTATACTCAGCATTTGAGAGGCAGGGGCAGGGAGATGATGAGTTTGAAGCCATCCTGAGAGAAACACACACACACACACGTGCGCACACACACGCACACACGGTGGGGAGAGAAAGAGAGGTTCAAACTAAAAGAATTCTATTGACCTAAGGTTAACTTTAAAATTCTGATATGTCTCAGAGTTAATGACAGAAGCTAAAGTGGTAAGAAAAAAAAAAAGAAGTTAATTGGAATTTAATTCAAAACCAACAAAATATCGGTTTATATTGAAACTATGACTTAAATCTAATCACAGTGATGACCAGGACCACAGAATCCTATTTTACATATTAATTGTTGCAACCTCAACCAATCCAGATGTGACCCCAACTCTCCGTAAGGACTGTCCCTCTGCCTCCAGACTTTTTCCTTCGGTATCATATTTGACCCCTCCCATCCATAGCCAGTGTGGTGCGTTTCTTCCCCTGTGTTACTAAGCAACACCCTTAGCTCTGGTTTGACAGACATCTGCTAACCATTTCCAAGGCTGTAGGTGACGTGGGAGCTTGTTCCCAGAACGTTGTCTCTCGTTTTATGGCTAGCACCTGTTCTGGAAGTAACAGGAAATGCTTTATTGCAGAGATCTGTTGGTCTCTACACTTGGGTTTTTACAGATTCTATGACACGTAACCTGTACCTCGCAAGGACCTTAAGAAGGGATGTAATCATATGAAACAAAGTGTGCCCCAGTAGTCATGGAAACAACGGGTGATAAAAGCCTGTTCCCAAGGACCTTGTACCTCATACTTGCAGAAGAGTCTTTAAATGTTTTCCTTAAAGGTTAGATTTAAAGCCTACCCTGCCCCTAAGAAAATCCCATGAAAGAAATAATGGCTCCACTGTCGCCCACACAACTACGGACAAGGACCCCAGGACTTGAGGCCCACCACCATTTAACACGAGTGTGACTGTGCTCTCCACTGACACACCCCTCCAGTCTGCCTAGGGAACGCGCCCTGGAAGAGTTCCTTTAGTCTAGCCCAGTTGTTCTCCATTTAGTTTACAAAGGAGTGTCCTTTTGTGGGTAGCATGAGCAGGAGCGTATACCCTATACTTTATGGGTGGTTAAAGAGATTTTCAGAGGTGATTGCCTTTGTGCTTAATTTCCTTCATATCTGGCCATTCCACAGCCATTTTGTGCCTTTGTGTGATAGGAGATTTGGCTCTATTAGAGCGAACTGTCGAAACTATAATTGAGAATTTCCTGTGCCACCTGAATAAAGAGTTGGAAAACTCTCTGTGGTCCAAATGCCCTCTCAAGCCTCCCACGCTGGCATATAATAAGCATCACGTTGGCATTTACAAAACCCATAGGTGCCACGCTTCCTATTTTCTGGTGAAAATAGAGTCCTGTTGCTAAGCAGACAGGCAGCTCTGGGAGAGAACGGAGATTCTGAAATTTAACTCTAGAGGCTCAGGAAGAGACACCCCCAAAGTGACACTTGGGCATGCTGCGACGGAGAAGCTGTCTTGGTCAAGGTCAAACTCGTACCTGCTGCATCCTCTCACAAGGAGGGCCTGGAACGCCCTTCTCTGACTGGGAAACTGTCTTCCACAAGCTCGAGATCCCTGCCTAGCAGTTTCACCAAAGGAAAGGTTAAAGGAGAAAGGGAAGAAGCTAAAAAGTCATTGCCCTGACATAGCCCAGACAGTCGTCTATTGTTCTGAGTGCAGCACCCTGAGGTTCCCTGGGAGAGTTTATCTACACTACGGAATCTTTGCCCACAGCGAAGTTCCACGTCTCATGCTTCTGACAACTTGTAATGATGGTTTCTAAGCACCGGAACTTGTTAGCTGTTAGGTAATCGTTCTGCCACGACTCCCTCCTCCACACAGACGCTAGTTATACTTGCTTCCCTTTCTTGTGACCTCTGCCTATCGCCGGCTCAGCCTTCACTTTGCCCACGTCACCCATTTAGAGGTCGAACAGGAACTCGGAGAACGAGCACAGATATTATGGCCCTTTGTGAGCTAAGTGGAGGATAGTGAAATGAAGATGTTCTGCCATGCTAATTCCTAAATGATAGAGACCACTGCAAACGCTTCCATCCCGTCCTTGCTGGGGAGAGTATGTAGCCTCCAAACTCCTCCGGTCCTTTGCATTCTGTAAGCATGGGAAGATTCGCAGCACGCGGGAAACAAAAAGACTGACATTTTCCGGCTTTTGCCTTACAAAACAAACCCCAAGTGTTTAGGAGAAGTGCATTTGTGGATGTTTTCAGGTATTGATGAAATGTCATGGATCAAAGGGAGAAACAAGAGGTTTCCTTGGACTCAGGAGAGAAGTGAGGCAGAGGTGCAGAGTCCTCAGAATGAAAAACAAACAAACAAATCTAACTAAGAGCTAAATTGACCTGAATCTAAATTCTGAGGCTTACAGGGACTGCCACAGCCTGTAAGTGGCTGTATCAGGATGGCCTGTCAGAGTCACGGTTCTTGCCTATAACCTGTCAGGCACCGGGCAAACACTTTCACACCTGCTCTGTCGTGTGTAATCTCCTGTACAGCACGGCAGGGCCAGTGTTGTCATCATATTTTACAAGTGAAGCATCATGGCGCAAGGGCAGCTGGTAAGTATGGGGCCAGGGATGCAAACCCAGGTCTGTTTTTCTCTGCTGGACATCATGCTGGGGAGCAGAGGCAGGTGCCTAAACTCAGAGACAAAAGAATTTAAAGAAAAGACTTCCTTTTCTTTAAAGAGTTCTGTTCATTGTAGTTTTGGGCCATTGCTACAAGCCAAGAATGCGAATAATGCTGATCATTGGGGGAAAACTTCCAGACCCCCGCACAAATATTGGATGGGATGTCCCTAAGGCAGAAGAGAATGTGGCAATGGTCTGTCACTGTAAGACTTAGAGCATCCTTCGCAGCACTTCTCTCATCCCTATACCAGACTTCGGAAGTATCTCTTTAAGGACGTCGGTATTGAAGATGCTTCCTATATTCTGTGATAAGTGGAGGTTAACAATAAAAATCTATGGTATACAGGTGGTTTGATAGGCCTATGTCTCTGTCTGAACCACGGCCCTGCCTGTCTACATGGCATTAAAACGAAAACATACGCTTACTTTCCCTGTTAATCACACACAGGCACAATCAATCAATCTGTTTCAAGTTCTTACTCAAGCATGAGTCACAAACAGACCTGACAGCACTGACTTTAAAAAAACACTCTAAGTTTTCAATGACTTGGGCCCAGATGTGAGCATTTCTGTTCAGGGCTTTGTGGTGTGTTTCAGTTCATGGGGCTGGGTTACCTGGTTAGGATCAGGGCCAACTTCATCCCAGTTGTGAGTGACATGACCTTGGTCAATGGACTCAAAGGGCTTGTGAGACACTGACGGGAGGATCCTATACAGCCAGCTAAGGGAAACAAGAAAAACAGAAAGACAAAGCTTTAGGTAATGTTCTGAGGGACCTAGACCAGCTCTGGAGGGGCCCCCAAGAAGATATTCAACCAACAACCATCTGTGGGCTTTGTTGTAAGAAGCAATGATTCGTCATTCCTCAGTAGCCATCTCTGTCCCTAACTATGGTCTCGTTGTTCCTTCCATGATGCCCATACTCTTCAGGTTGAGGCTCTGGTTCCTACCTATTCACATACTGCCAAAAAAATATGAAGCATTGCCTTTCCCAACCACTGTAAGGGAAAAGGAAGCACCATGAGGGACATGTACAATAAAATCCACAGAAGAGATGTTAAGTCTTGCTTTTCAAGTCAGGACAATGATTTGGGAGAGCCTGAGAGAAGATGGGTGATGGGGGAGAGTCTTCTGGCTTGTATTAATTTCATTGGTTAAATAAAGAGACTGCCTTGGCCCTTTAATAGGACATAAAATTAGGTAGGCAGAGTAAACAGAACAGAATGCTGGGAGAAAGAAGCTGAGTCAAGGAGTCACCATGATTCTCCCACTCCAGACAGACGCAGGTTAAGATCTTCCCTGGTAAGACACCTCGTGGGCTACACAGATTATTAGAAATGGGTTAGATTAATATGTAAGAGCTAGCCAATAAGAGGCTGGAACTAATGGGCCAAGCAGTGTTTAAAAGAATACAGTTTCCGTGTAATTATTTCGGGGCATAAGCTAGCCATGCGGGCGGCCGGGTGCCGGGGGCACAGCCCCGCTGCTTCTATTTCAACAGATGGGGAGTAGGTTTGTTATTTCTTAAGGTAAAAACCTGCTTTGTTCTTTAAAAGTGATTTATGACAATGGGGGAAATAATTCTATATTCAAAAATTCCTGGGGGTGATCAGTGCTCTCCAACTTTTCTCATGGTTATTCCTTGGAGGTACAGAGCTTACCACTTTTCTCATCTGTTGCCTTGGATTTCTCCAATGCGTATATAAGCAAAATTGGCAAACTGTAGGAGCACTGTCTTCTCACACTAATGATAACAGCCGAGAATGTATCTCCCACATCTCCCCCAATCCGGGATGCTATTATAATTGCGCATACTCTGGCAATCCTCCTGCCTCTGTGCTCTCCAGCTCTGGGGTTATAGGGGAGTGCAACTGCAGTGGCTATGTGGGTATTGGGGGTTTGAACTCAGGTCAAATGCTTTTACCCACTAAGTCATCTCTCAAGCGCCATTGACCATACTCTTAAAAGTGAAATATAGTGTCTTTTTTTTGTTTTAGCATGTCCTTTATATTAATAAGATCAATAAGCTTTGCTTATTTATCAGTCTTTCGTAATTTTTCTAAGAATTGCTTGTAGAGTCCCATGTTGACTTCAGTTGGGTTTTATTTGGTCTTTCTGGTATTAATTGTGAGAAGTTTTAGAATTTCCACTTCTTTACTACGTAGTTAAAAAAGCACACGTCCGTGCTTTAATGTGGTGTGTTTATGGATGTTTGGCTTTCCTTTTCTTTAGTAAGTTCTGCCGTCTGTGTACATCAAGGCCTGAGCTGGTCTCTTCTCTAGGATCAGATCCAACTCAAGGAAGGGAGAAGGAGTCTGCTGAGGGAACCTTGAGGGTGAGAGGGCCCTGTCTCACTAAGACTTTATAGGAGTTGACAGGGAGAAGGACACTTCTATGACAGTGGAAGGCCTGCTGTGCTCATCTGGCTCCGGGACAGTCCAAACTCAAGGGTGGAATTTGCCTGTCTAGTCACAAGCATCTGAACCATAAATGGCGTAAATTTGTTCCCCTGCCATCTCATTCCCCAGCTCTCAATGCAATGATGTCAGACCTAGGCTCACAAACCTTTCAAACTCCCAGGAGTCTGTGGGGCTGAGCACATATGTGTGTCTTAGCCCCGCCAGAATGCTGCAACTTCCTGGACCCTATCCTCTTCATCTGTAGTCCTAAGGTTGCTGTAAGAACTGCAGATTCGCTCGGCACTCACTTACTGGATGATTACTGAATTGCCGTCTCTTAATCATCTGGGTTTTTACCACAATTTAAACTTTACAGATTTATTTTCCCAAGAGATGGGTGGAACCTCTGGTAGTTTGAGTGTTCCTAATGCTTTGGGGGTTAAGTGAGTACTGACTACCTGAGAGTGTGAAGCTGACCCATCCATAGACAGACAGGGCCAGACTGTCCTGCTGGAGGATTGAGCGTTTTCCTCTGTTTCTTGTGCCTGTCTTTGGAGAGTTCTAAGCAGATGGGTGAGCCATGCCTAGTGTCCCTTATTTTTCAGCTGAGTTTAGCAAACTCCCCAGGCTACACTAGGTTGCCCTGGACCGAGATTTAATTCTGATGCAGGGAATGTTGCCAGCTTCTTAATGAAATGCCAAGAGTTCCTTTTCAGCCTCCTGGAACAGAGCTCAGCTCCTGCTGGCTGAAGATACTGCTGAATAATGGGGGCAGGCAGCAGATTCTGGAGACCGGGTGGCCAGTGTATAGATAGGCTATGAAGTGAAGAACACAGTCGTGGAGGCCAGGTTGCCATCAATTAGAACAGATAGGGATTGTTTGTGGATTACTTTATCTTGTCTAGAGGAAGAGATAGCCAAATAACAATGGAAACAATCTCTGAGTACTTGTTTGCTTTTGCTTTGTGTTTTGTTTGCTTGGTTGGTTTTTTTTTTTTTTTTTTTTTTTTTTTTTGAGGCAGGATATGTAGTCCAGGTTGGCCTTCAATTCCTGATCCTCTCACATTAACCTTCCGAATCCTGGGATCACAGGCATTCACCACACCATGCCCAGCTTAATCCTTGATTTTTGACAAGTAAAAAAGAATCTATCCCTTAGCCTATATTATCTCTTAGGATCCCATTTACAAATGTGGAGGATCTGAAGGGTAGAGAATTGTTCAACACCATCAACAGTAGGTGTAGGAGCAAGAGCTGAACCACAGGGGGTGCTGCCTGGCTGCCTGGGAGTGGACATGATTCATCATGAAGGGAGGTGATATTTACCATGCATGTGCTGTTACGCTCGCTGTCCCATCTGCTTCTCGGGAGGACTCAGTCGATAGAAACCCACTTCCTCCTTCTATCTAGACAGTGTAAGCCCACTCTAGCTCTCCTCAAATCTCCAAAGTCAGTAACATCATTCTTTACACACCGGTGACCTGAAATCCCCACAATTAGATGCCGTGAATTCAAATCCTAACGCTTGACTGCCTCCTGGGTCTCCAGCGTCAGCATTCAGCCTGCTCCTTAGAGGCTGATTAACGAGAGGGTTCACCGAGGTGGCTTGTAGGATTAGAGCAAGCACAGAACACGCCACCCTGTACTAATGAACATGCCAGCTTCCAGGAAAGGCAAATTCCGAAGAGGAGAAACCCTATTAATTCAAACCCCGTGGGGCCATAATACATGACCTTTCAAGCACTTCAGCTTGGATTATCGGTTTTCACGCAAGGAACATAATGCTTCTAGTCAGCCGAGAAAGATGTCTGAATCTTGTCTGACTGGAGGCTGAGACTATACAATCCTTAGAGGGAAGCCAGAGCGTGAGAAACCTTCCCTGTGGCATTCTAGTAAGACTTTGTAATGGGACTGGATTTGTGTGCTTTTTTTGCCTCTGTACAGCTGTTCCCTAGCTTTCTTCTGCCAATCAATCACTGGGAACAAGCCTGGATGTCCCCAATGTGACCTAGAACACAGTGCACAAGGAGGGCCTTTGGGGAGACTGTGGCTGGGATGCAGGGCCCCCAGATCTAAGTCAGAATTGACCCCAGCGTGTACCTTCTCTTATTGGTGCTCCGTGGACAAGTGAAGGCTGATCCCGAGAGCTGCTCCGCGTAGAGATTGTAGGGGCAGACTTGTGGATTATTCTAAAACAAAGGAGGTGGCACACAGAATCATCCACCACCCAAAGCATCCTACTTTCCAACCCATTCAGTGGGGAGAGATCCTGGCCTGAATGCACAGGCTCTGGACCACTGCACATTGCTGCCTCCCACCCCCGATACTTGCAATATCTTTGTGACATCCCCCAGTGAGAGTGAAACAGGCTTATTGTGGAAAATTCGTAACATATGCGATGACCCGTTCCCTCGCCAACCTAATATTAATAACCTAATAACCTAATATTAATGTTCATATATTTCTTTCTGTTCTTGCCTCCAAATGAAGATCCTATGAGACATATAAGTCTATAATAGTCGGAAATTTTTCCTTTGAAAAGGATGCAAGATGTCACAAGCATTTCTTTTGTTTTTGTCTCGATACAGGTCTTGGTGTGCAGCCCAACCTGCTTGCAAACTCAGGATCCCCTTGCTTCTGCCACCTGAGTGCTGGGATTACGCTGGTGTACCACTATGCCAGTCTAAAAGCACTTTCCATACCATGAAATGGCCGCCAAAAAGTTTTGAAAATAAACTCATTTGCAGTGGTTTTGCTACTGTAACCAGCATGGGTGAGGACACATTCGTGCATACATTTGTCAAGTAACTTATTTTCTTATCATGGTCAGATCCGATGTTCTTCAGCGGGGCTCTTTTCAGGAAGTTCCTCTAACCTTGGACTTTGGGGCGTATCCGGGAAGTTCTTGTAGTTAATCTCACTTATTTGGATTGGGTCCTTGGCTGTAGCTAATCAATTTCAACCCTGTTTTGATATTTTTGTTGGTATTGTGCTCTAACACCATTCTGCTAATGATCTTGGACACTGGTCAGTCGACCTGCTAAATTAGAAGAGGCATGTTGGGTGGAGCTATTGGGTTTACACGCTTGTCTTCCATACCTACAGTTCTGAGCTCTCCCTCCAGACATTCGTCCCATTCTTACCTGTCCTTCTGGCAGAGAACCCGGGCAGCGAGGGTCCTCTGAAGCACACTCGTTCCCAAATCCAGAAATGTACTACATGTGACAAAGACACAAATTTGATTGTTACAGGGATGTATTTGTGTGTGCACGTGTGTGTGTGCACATTGTTACATGTATGTAGGTGACTATATGTGTACGTGTGGAAGACCACAGTTGAGTGTCTCTCTTCCTCAACTGCTTTTCTTAGTTACTGCGATAAGGCTCTCTCTGAACTGGAGGCTCACTGCGAGGCTGGTTCACCAGTTTCCTCCAGGACCGCTAACTCTGCCTCTCATAATAAACTGGTTCATTCGAAGGATCCATACTCTGGTCCTCAGACTTGAGTGATCTTCCTGCTGAGCCATATTCCCAGCCCCTAACAGGATGTGAAGAGCATTTTACAACATTGCCATCCCACAAAGGCAAGAATAGCTACAAGGGCATGTATTTGTGTGATACTCTATAGGCAATAGCTGCTATGTCTTGACTGGTGAACTGTTTAGGATATACAATATGTGTTTGTGTGTCTTAAATATTTGCAGTTAACCAGAAAGGAATTGCATAGACTTTTCTGTCCTTAACCGTTCTTGACTGATTTTATAAGCTTGCTTTTAATGATCCCATTTCAAGAACAAGCTCTTTAATTTTGGTTCTGTCTGGAAATTCCTGGGAGGGAGATGGCTCAGGCATCATTTCAGCTCCAAACCAGCAGGATGGCTTTCTATCACAAGTCCTTTCCCCCTGCACACCCTAAAACAAACAAATAAGCGAGAAACCAAAATCTCAAACTGGGAAGAGGTATGTGGATTTAAAGAGACAGGAAGATGTTTGTTAGAAAACTCCTTCCAGACGTACATATGCCTTTTATCCAAGCACTGGGAAAGCAGAAGCAGGCAGATCTTGGTGAGTTCAAGGCCAGCCTGGTCTACAAGAGCTGGTTCCAGCACAAGTTAGGACTGTTATGGAAAGAAAAAAAAAGACCACTCCTTCCACAGGAGTCAATATCACCTGGATTAGTGTATGTGCGTGCGTGCGCGCGCGTGTGTGTATGTGTGTGTGTGTGTGTGTGTGTGTATCAGCATTTGTGTGGATACAAGAAAGGAAAGATTAAAGATGGAATGACTCAGAAGATGCCCCAGCCCCGAATCTTTTCAGAACAATGCAACAGGGCTACCATAATTGCCATCTTTGAGGTTCACAATACAGAGGGGAAATTAGATTCCTCAACAAGGTAACTTACAGGGGTCCTCTGAAATTTATACACCCCCAATAGTAAAGACTGCTTTATTGATGGCACTTGGGAAAGCCAATAAATACTGATCCTCGAAGAATATAGCAGCTATCCACAGATAGCTGAACTAGGACCAAGGAACTGGTTTGAATGAAGTCAGTCCTGCTTCTTGAAAAATGAGTGCACAGCTGCCAGAGTCCTGTGCTGGTCTACAAACTGTGAGGGCCATGGTGCCTCCATTGGGCAGGCGGGGGGCGGGGGGGGGCATCAGCTGCTCCAACCTTTAGCTGCCTTGGAATTCCTGAAACAGCTTACTTCCCCTCTCTAGAAATTTATTTACAAAATGGTTGCATGAAATCATGCTTACGATCCTTTGGGCAATCTGAGGAAGGGCAGCAGACTTTGTAGCATCTTGGCTCAGTCACTGCTAGTCCACTGGGAGCCAGGACTTACTCTTGCCATGTTTAGCGCACCTGACTTTGGGCGTAGGTCTGCCACTGTCTCGCTTCTCTGCTGCTCCGTGATTCGTGAAGGTTAGTACTGTGCCAGTTTTATTCACCTCTGTGGACCTCGTGTCTCGGCCCATGGTGTTTCTCACTCAGGGCCCGTCCTCAGGGTGCATGGTTGCCACCATGAGTGGGATTTGAACTCCCTTTGCTCTAATGCAAACATGAGTTGATTTTAGCCTACGATAAGGAGAGTGCAGCCCTACTGGGTGAGAGAAATACCACCATCTGAGCATGATTCTTTAAGAGATAGGAGAAGGGTGGATGTGGGTGGAGGGTAGGCCCTTCAAAGTCCTTGGCAGCTTCCGGAAGAATGAGCTAGATGTAACACGCCTGGATGTGTGAGCAACGATCAGGCCAGCAGTGTCTATATTTGGAAGGAATATGAAATGTGAAATGTTATGACCTAGAAAGTAATGGGAGTGAAATTATTCATTTGTGTTCAGACACGGGTTTGTGTGTGTGTGTGTGTGTGTGTGTGTGTGTGTGTGTGTGTGTATGCTATTGCTGGGGTTTGAACTTGAGACCTTATGCAAATGTGCTTTGCCACTTAACTATACCTCTCAACCCCCACAGTTTTAAAAAATCTCTTTGAAAATTTATCAGAATCCTCCCTCCCCCAGTCAAGGTCTTTTCTAATGAGATTTGTTCCAAGCTGTGTACAGTCTGGAATTACAGCTTTGGGGTAATGGCGGAGACCATCCGCTATCCTGAACCTCCGCGGAGTAACAATTTTCTTCTCTCAGAATGAACCCCATGCGCGCGCACCACCAACAGGACTGAGTTCGAGCTGCTGAGGATCAGTAATGACCTCCAATTATCTCCCATTCTGTGAAACAGGATTGGAGATCAGCCTGTGACAGAAGCTGCTGAGGAAGGCAGAGGCCTCTCTTAGTCGGGTTGTGCCATTGTTCCTTTCTGCGGGGAGGAGGGGGAGGTTTGAGAGCTACCCTGTCCAGCTGAGCTTTCTGGCAGGCAGGGTGGATTTACTGATTAACCTTCCTTGGTCTTTGTAACCGCGGGCCTCAGAACACAGGTTCTAAGTGTATTCTGAACGAGGAGAGATGGGAGTTAGCGATTCTGAAGCATTTGATTAAGGCCCTGCTCTAAGGAAAAGGGGAAAAAAAACACAGAAAGAACAGCTGTTGGTTTGGGAGGGAGCCACCCGGAGCACCGGAGCTCCAAGGGAAAGAGCGAAGGAGGCAGGAAGGAGGGAGGGAGGTGGCAATTTTTTTAGTTCTTTTTTCCACCTCATGGAAGTGCACTGGCTTAAGAAGCCAGGGAAAGCTTCTGAGTCACCGTTAGCTGGTTGGTCTTCCTAACCTTCCAGGAGCAAAATTATGGAGGTGTTTGTTAGATTTGATTTTTTTTTTTGCCACCGAAGACTTCCCAGCGGAGGGAGCTGCGTTCTGCAGCTGCTGTCTCAAGGCTTTCAGTCCAAGGACAGACTCTGAACTCTTCTTCCATCAGCTGTGAAAACCGAAGCACTCCAGCTCCAGCTGCCTCTGGGATTATGTAAAGATGCACCTTCTGCAAAGAGTGAAATAAATCCTGACATTAAGCGAGTGTGTTTATGTTTCCTTCAGCTCAGATTTCGGAATAATTTGATGCTATATAAAAAGACAATTTTCTTTCTTTCCAAGAGAATTATATGCATACGTGTTAAATGAAAGAATACATTTTTGAGGCCCATGTGACTTGGGCACAGTCACTTCTCTGGCAGCTCACTGGCACCCAGCTTTTCAATTCTCATCTGGTCCCCAGGATAGGATTTACTTGTCAGAGTCATTTGAAGGGGTCCTTTTGAGTCAGATTCTTGGTAACACCTGATGTGGGGAGTAGATGGTGCACCTCATTTCCTTTTAATGGGTGCTAGAGAAAGAGGGATGAGTCTGGGAAGACAGAGGCCCAGGGCTCTTCTATTTGTATTTCCTTCCCATAAAAGGAGCCAGTTCTCCTGGCTAAACTTAATAGAATCATAGAATCAAGGTTAGGGAAATGTGCTGTTGCTGCTGTAGGCTGAATAATGCTCTGGAAGGACCCTGGAGTCTTATTTCTTAATGCTTGAAACTAAGAGGCAGGCTTTTGAATAGACAACTTAGGACTTTGAAGCCCCGACCCTTTGGCAAACAGCCTTCAACGTGCTGGTTATGGTTTAGTTAATGATGAATCAGAAGCGCAGGTGGCAGGGCAGCCTGTGATCCCTCCCAAGAGATGGGTGAAGAAGATTGGGAGTTCAAGGTTATTCCTTCCTGCATAGTGAGTTCAAAGCCATCCTGGGCTACCCAAGACCCTGTCCGGAAGAAACAAAAGACCGAAAAGAGAAAGAAAGAAAGAAAGAAAGAAAGAAAGAAAGAAAGAAAGAAAACAGACCAAAGAACCAGATAAGTAACTTGGGGCTCACAACCGTTGGGTAAAGGAACCAGTGTGGAGCTTAAACTGGCCATAAAGCTAAGAGGTACATTAGTGACAGCCAAAACAAGTCGCTTCTTCCTGTTCCCAAGCAAAGAAAAACTAAAAGCTAAACTCATGGCCAGAGGTGGGGTTAGCCATCCCTTTTGTGAAATGCCATTCCTGAGTTTGGTGCTGCCTAGACCAGCCTTTACTGCAAAGATAAAAAACCAAACATATTCTAACACGGCTATTTCTGTCTTCCTGGATTGGCTTTGGGAAGAAGAGCAGAGGTTTCCCAACTCTCCAGTCTTGGGAGCAAATTGCAGTTTTCATGCCCATCTCAATAGAAACCCGAGGAGAGGCAGCAGGTTCTTCACGGGGATCTCTGTCACCTTATTACCTGCTGTCTCTTCTGGTCTCTGTCCTTTGTCTGGGGAGGAGTGTAAGGAAGGTCTTCCTAACCTCTGGCTGCCTCACCCATGGCCTGAGGTCATTTTTTTCAGCTGCTAAGGTGACTTGGAATGAACTTGGAAATGTGAGTAGACGTCCTTCTGTGGATGTGGTTGAGTAAACAGCGGTTGGGGAAGAGGAGCATCCCCACGGTTTGAGGCACTCTAAGAGAATCATCCCAGGTGTTCTATTAGGACAAAGGTGAAAGGTAATTTGGTTGAAAAAGAGGAAGCAGAGGTCTATCTGGGAGCCAAGGAATGTGCACTCTCTAGGAACCGCAGACGAGAAATACTCTTCAGAGCCTCCAGGTGAGCTCAACCATGCTGACACTTTGATGTTGGCCCACTGGGAATGATTTCAGACATCCACTCTCCAGAAGTGCAGGAGAATGTATGGTGTTGTCTCAAGCTAGAACATCGATGGTCATTTAGTGTAGCCCAATAGGAAACTGTAGGCCGGTGGGTCCTCCTTTGTCATTAACCATAAGAATCGTCTCAGACTCCAAGCTAGTGAGTCAGGTGTCTGCTGGGGGGGGGGGGGGGGTTGGGAATGTCAGCCTGTGAGGAGGGGTAGAAACAAAGTGACATAGTCCAGAACGCGGTGAGCCCACCTTAAACCTCATTCCATTATTTTAGCTTCTGAATTTTCTTCTTCTCCTTGTGCTTTCATGTAAATGTGATCTCATCCGAGGTTTTGTGTTGACATAGCCATTGAAATGACGGAGGAAGCATGAGGGACATTTCAAATTAGGTTTGATACTGTTTATTGATGGGGATGGGTGTGCCTTAAACTGGCTCTCTGTGTTAAGATTCCTGACCTCTGGAGAGGAGGCAGCAGGCTGCGCGAGCCTTTGAAACTGAGAACAAAGGCCAGCGTGCCATTTACATGCGGTGGTGTTTTGCATACTAAGTTGCTTAAATATTGCAGCAGGACAGGATTTTAGATATGTTTTATTTATAAATGGTAAGGATGCTTCCTCCCGTGATGTGATGAGCTTCCTCATAGGATTTAACAAAGCAAAACTCTTATGAATTCTCCTTCCTCCCCATCTTCAGTTGCATCACTGGCAAACAGGGACCATTAGGTTCGCATTACCTATGCCCACTCCCCTTCCGTTCAGGTCTGCACATGGGTCCTCTCCTGGGCACCCCCAGCAGCTCCAGTTTAGCTGAAGCACTAGGTTCCTGAGGTGCACAGATCTTTCTGTATATTTTGTGCCTTCAGACGTGGCATGACCTCTGGCCTAGTCCTGTGTCGTCACTCCACCTAGGAACAGCTTCCCTCCAGAAGTTTCTCCATTCCCATGTTGCATTAACTGCAATATCATGAACGAACACCAAATGAGAGCTTACTCTAGGTCTGGCACAAAGATAGAGAAGAAAACCTCTTTTCTGCGGTGCTCAGCACCTTCAAGGTGCCTATTAATTAGAGAACTGCCTGATTTATCATCCCGGCTTTGATTGAAAAGCTTTCTGGAGGTGTTCTATCCCTGAATCCCAGGAAGAGGCCTAGTGGGTCTCTTCTACCCAGCTTGCGCCAATGTGCCAGGATGTTCTAGCTCTGGCTGTATGCAGTGAACCTAGCAATAGGCAGAGGCTTTGTTTGTTTGCTTGCTTGTTTTATGTTTTTTGAGACAGGGTTTCTCTGTGTAGCCTTGGCTGTCCTAGAACTCACTCTGTAGACCAGGCTGGCCTTGAACTCACAGAGATCCTCTTGCCTCTGCATCCCAAATGCTGGGATTGAAGTTGTACACCACCACTGCCTGGCTGCTAGGCAGAGTTTTAGGCCCTGGGAACACCCTCTTCTTCTTGCCCAAAAGGCGCCAGCCTAGCAGGTGCCACCAATCTTCTTTTTCGGGGGGGCCTGAAATATGAACTCCAATAAACCCGAGTTCTACTGTGGCCTCCATCCTTCACCAGCAGGGACTTTGAGTGAGTCTCTTAGTCTCTATGAGCCTTGCTTTCCTTATTGGTTTAAAATAGGAAAAAGAGCACCTATACCCCAGGTTTACAGCGAGCATAGTTAAAACCTCCAGCATCTGTAACACATGGTCCACTCGTTCTCAGTGGCACACTAAATAAGAAAGTACTGTTCAAGGCTGAGTCGGAGGTACCAAATGATTAAGCAGGTTAAGCACATTAAACTGGCTGGCCTGAAACAGTCCAGGGAGTTGCAGTCACAAGGATGGCAGAGAGCAGCCGGGAAGGAGACACATAGAGAAACGCACGCGTCCGTTTAGAAGGGGAGCTCTCAACATGCCCACGGACCCGCAAGACAGTATTAGAGATGAACAAAGGCAAGGGTACAATTGCTTTCTTTGGTCACCTCTTCCTTGTCCATCCAGAGCACAGGACCTTAGGTCAGGCTCCCTTTCGTGTGTGTGTGTGTGTGTGTGTGTGTGTGTGTGTGTGTGCACGCGCATGTGTGTGTGTGTGTGTATGTGTGTGTACGTGTGTGTATATATGTATATGGGACTAGAGGGGCCACAAAGGCTAGAAGAGGGGGCTATCCATATGAGCAGCTGGACAGGTTCTGGGAATTGAACTCAGGTCCTCTGGAAGAGCATCAAGTGCTAGTAACTAGTAGGCAATCTCTACAACCCCCACCCACAAGTGTTTTTCAACTCTCACACCAGAAAACCCCACAAATTCTTGCTGAAGAAGGCACAATAAACTTGTTAGAGATCTCTCCACTCTTCTTCCCTTCTCTTTTCCTTTCTCTCCATCTCTTTTCCCTTCTTTTCTCTACTGTTGATGCTTGAGACATGCTAAGTGTAGGCTTTCCTATTTAAGTGACACCCCCAGATACAGTCTCCAATCTTAATCCAAATCCAGACAGAGGATTTCTTACCTTTAACTCTGCCATTTTAAGCGAGGCCAGGGAGTTTGTGAGGCGCCAAGTCTTCTGTCTCTCTTTATAATCTCTCAGAGAATTCTTGCTTTCACCAGTTCATCGCATCTCCGTGCTCAGCACGTTATTCTAGGCAGAAAGTCCAACGTCCTAACATCTACAATTCTTGCACAACTATTTTTTTTTATTATTAACCCAGGTCATCTCTGAGAGCATTGCAGAGAACTGGTTCCATTCACTGGAGGTAAATATTGACTTGTTCCACTTTAAGGAAGGCTTTTCCCCAAAGGCAGAAGATTTGAAGCTGAAAAAGGAACTGTGGGAGTTAGCACGTGCCAGATGTGACAGAATTCTTTCTCAGTCCAGACTCAAGCCAGGAAGGAGCAGGGCCAGGATTCAGTGACCGTGGAGGGAACACTATGTGCTTTGACCCAAGGGCAAGAGGTGTCGGAAGAGGAGGACCAGGATTGGAGGCTCCCTGACACTGCCTCCCATGGAAGAGTTAGGACTATTGAGAGAGTGTTGAACTTAGAACAAGCTGGGATGTTTACTGTCATTCATCTTGATTTCCTAGAATACATTAGGTATGCGTATACCCTCTGTAGTCATTAGCTTTCTAATGCCTTAGTTCCAAGAGCAGACTGCTCCCCAGCTGCCTTCTCCTGGCCTTGCTTGTCCTTCGTCTTAGCCACTTGCTGCAGCCATTGGAAGGTAGCAACTTTGTGACTGGTGGTCTTCAGGAAGGGAACATACACCGAGGCTTGTCTGTGCCAGGTTTCCCCCACAGACACTACCTCGTTTAATTTCACAAAAACAGCCTTGCAAAGTAGGTTTTATTATTACAAACTCAGATGCAACAGCACAGGAAGGAAAAGCAGCCGAGTCGATCAGGCTAGGTGATTTTCCAGAAGCTAAATTCTAATTTTGAAATGTTGGCAAAAAGAAGAAAGAACTCTAAATCCAAATTTTGCAGCTAGAGGTTTCCAACAGCAAAGGGTTTATTGAGCTGTGTAGACTCTAAGAGGTAAAGGACTAGAGCCCCTAATACATGAATGACTACTAGTCAGCATCTAGAACATGCCTACCCAACCTAAGTTTATAATAAGATTTGAGAGAAAAGAAATAAAAAGCATTTACATCAAACCTGTATTGGCTCTAGATAAGAAGGGCAGGACACACAAGACCACAGCAGCCTAGGTCTGTGCACAAAGAGAAGTCTTGCTACTGTTTGTTTGTTTGGTTGGTTCCAAAATCAGAATGCAATATGGCCCTGAGGAGTGATCTTCAGCTCAAAGATGGATATGGAAGTGTTTTTCTTTGCTGATTAACCTTGAGATGTGAGTTTAAATGGCCTTCTCTTACCTCTGCAGTCCTCTATGCACCAGCATGTAACTTAATATAGGACATCTATCTCAGGATGGAGGAAAGGAAAGGAGGGAGGGAGGGAGGGAGGGAGGAAGAAGGAAAAAAATATGAAAGGAAGAACGGAGGAAGGGAGGAGGAAGGAAGGGAGGAAGGAGGAAGAAAGGAGGAAGGGAGAGAGGAGGAAGAAAGGAGGAGGAAGGGAGGGAGGAGAGAGGAAGGAGGAAGAAAAAGGAGGAAGAAAGGAGGAGGAAGGGAGGGAAGAGAGAGGAAGGAGGAAGAAAAAAGGAGAAAGGGAGAGAGGAGTAAAGGAGGGGATGAGAAAAGAAACCTTTACAGTGCATCACAAACATTGCCTAGTTCCTCCCCATGTTTCTGTGTGCCCCTTGAATGTGACTTTACTGTTCCTTCCATCAAGAGAGTCTTTAGCTGGGCATGGTGGCATACAGCTGCCACCCAGCACTTGAGAGGCCTGCAGCAAGAGGATTTTGAGCTCCAGGCCAGTGGGGACAACACAGTGAGACTCTATATAAAAACAAGCCAAGAGGTGGAGTCTTTTCCTTCTCTGGATCTTGGTAAACAGGACGTTAGAAAACATAGCACAGAGGCTTGACAGTTTGGCCATAGACACTTGTATATATTTCCACCTGTCTCAGACTAATTTGTAAAGAGGTGGAACTGGCTTCTGGGGGCCAGGTGGCAGCTCCAAAGCCCATGCTAAAACAGTCTGCTGCCAGATGACTGTGGACAAGCGAGGGATCCCGGGTGAGAACAATGGAACTGTCAGCTAAATCAAGCCTATGTTGTTGCCTGAAAGACTCGAGAGCAAACAGAACAGCATGCTTTCCACTAATAAGTCTGAGAGTGGTTGGTTAACAGGGACAGATAATTTAACCATATATCGAAACCATCATGTGGTGCAGGTCTCAAATGGATTCAGGCTTCCATTCTGAGATCCTGTCTTTAGATCATGGGACTGAGCAACCTTCAGAGCTCAGGACTTGGTGTACTGTGGCAGCTGTAGTGAAATGCACGAGGTGTTCCACATGCAGGGCCAGTCTTACGGGCCATATAGTGGATGTTGGTGCAAACTTGTGGACTAATTTCTGGCAGGCAGCTTACAAGGAATCTCAGCATGTTAGAGCATAGACAAATGACTTATAAGGTATAAACTCTGGAATTTATATGTAAAATTGGAAGTGTATGGAGACCCCTCTATTATTTTACTATTATTATTTTATTGAGCTATATATTTTTTCTCTGCTCCCCTCCCTTCTTCTCCCCTCCCCTTCTACCCTCTCCTGTGGTCCCCATGCTCCCAATTTACTCAGGAGATCTTGTCTTTTTCTACTTTCTACTTCCCATGTAGATTAGATCCATGTACGTCTCTCTTAGGATCCTCATTGTTGTCTAGGTTCTCTGGGATTGTGAATTGTAAGCTGGTTTTTCTTTGCTTTATGTCTAAAAGCCACTTATGAGTGAATGCATGTAATATTTGTCTTTCTGGGTTTGGGTTACCTCACTCAGTATGATGTTTTCTAGCTCCATCCGTTTGCCTGCAAATTTCAAGATGTCATTGTTTTTTTTTCTGCTGTGTAGTACTCCATTGTGTAAATGTACCACATTTTCCTTATCCATTCTTGAGTTGAGGGGCATTTAGGTTGTTTCCAGGTTCTGGCTATGACAAACAATGCAGCTATGAACATAGTTGAAACCCCTGTAATATTGAGGCTAACTATGTGCAGACCTGAAGTAGAAAGGAAATTCTAGTAAATTCTGAGTTTATGAGTACCTTGGAGCTTCCCTCTAACTAACTTGCTTTGGTGGTTGAAAAACAATACAGGAGCTAATAAAAGGCAAAGGAGGGCCCCACTGCTCCCCTCTTCTATGGAGCCAGCTTCAAAGACAGACTTTAGAAGTGTTTCATGCTGGGTGGGAGGTGCACACCCTCCTTTAATCCCAGTACTCGAGAGCCAGAGGCAGGTGGATCTCTGTGAGTTTGAGACCAGCCTGGTCTACAGAGTGAGTTCCAGGGCAGTCAGGGATGTACAGATAGAGACCCTGTCTCAAGAAGAAAAAGGTTTCATTGTGTGACAGACCGGAGGAGGAAGAAGGCGACGGCAGATTCCTGGTTGGATGAAATTTTTTTCAGGGCCCTGGAAATATTTAAACTAGAATTAGCCTATTAATAGACTTTAGGAATTCCTCCAATGTGCATAACTTCATTTCCTACCTTGTCTATTTTTATATAACAATGATTCAGCAAATTAAGCATTTACTTTGCAATCACTACGCCAGGCACTGTGAGCTACACATAAAAACCCCACAGCCTTGAGTCTTTGTCAAATGGCTTCCTATTTTAACTAACGTATGCACATATGCATTCAATTTTCTTGAGGGCCATTTCAACAGTGCATGTCAAGTGCTAAGACAGTAACTACAGGTCTGGGGCATTGTTGGAGGGATTAGACAGGGCCTCAAGCCCAGACTAGGAGAGCCAGGGAAGGCCTCCTAGTGGAGATGATGCCCAAACCATGTCACCTCGGGTGACAGTTAGGGCTTGAGTAGCAGGAACCGTATGTGAGGATGGAGAAGTGGCAGTACACTGTGTAGGGGACAGGGTGCCTGAAAGGAGGAGTGGGTGGGAGGTCCTATTGAGAAGCCTTCCAGGCTTCATGCACAGGGGTGCATGGGCAGACTTTTGAAGCAGAGGGAACAGAAGTTACCTGGCTAGGAGAGTCACATTTAAAAATACACCCGGCAGAAGGATGAGACTGTTGGGGTAAGTTAAAGGCGTCCTGGACCAGAGTGGAGCGATAATACCTAAGCAGCAAGCAGCAAAGACAAAGTAGGTAAAACCGGGCGTGAGGAGGGATTTGATGAACCAATTCTGGGAATGTGTGGAGCAGCGATTTGAGGCCTGAGGGTGTCTTCTGCTTTCTGATCTAGCAGAGAACAACTTCACTCTCTGCAGAAGCTCCCAGGAAAAGGTCTAAACTCTCAGGTCCTGTGATCCCAGGTACTTTGGAGGCTGAGGCAGGTGATGAGGTTCACTTTAGCCTAGGCCAGCTTGGGCAACACAGTGTGCCCCCTGGCTCGGACAAATAACAAAACCAAACCACAAAACCTCAGCCCTCCCTCCTGCCCCCACTGCACTTCCAAGATTCTCGTGGCATGCATCCCTCTTTAGATCCTAAACTGAAGATTCCAAGATTCTCGTGGCATGCATCCCTCTTTAGATCCTAAACTGAAGACTCCAAGATTCTCGTGGCATGCATCCCTCTTTAGATCCTAAACTGAAGACTCCAAGATTCTCGTGGCATGCATCCCCTCTTTAGATCCTAAACTGAAGATTCCAGGATTCTCGTGGCATGCATCCCCTCTTTAGATCCTAAACTGAAGATTCTTCTCTAGGTGAGCGGCCGGAAATAGGACATATTTAGATAACCTTGTATTAAATATGGGATGCAAAATTTCTGGAAATGTTCAATGTACTTTATTTTTTGTGGGGTGGGGATGTTGCATATATCACAGTGCACCTGTGGAGTCTGAGAGCCCCCTAAGGCTGTGGTTCTCAACATGTGGGTAATGACCCCTGGGCGTGTCAAACTATTTTACAGGGGTTGCATATCAGATATTCATATGACAATTCATAACAGTAGCAATGAACTAATTTTATGGTTGAGGATCACCACAGCATGACAAACTGCACTAAAGGGTCCCAGGTCGAGGAAGGCTGAGAACCACGGATCTAAGGGATTGGTTGTCTCCTTCCACTGTGTGGGTTCTGGGAT